GGAAAAAGGATCAGTTTTCTCAGGAACTTATGTTGATATGCAAGTTGCTGTTTCATAATTGTCTTCTCGGATAGGCAAGTGATTATAAAGGAAATGCCCTACTACATTTTACGTGCATAAGGATGCGTCGTTTACCATGATAAATAGGAATGCCCTGCAATGGATCGAGCCTGTTGGAAGAGTAGGTAAATTGATTTAGTAAATGAACCCGGTAGTTAATGCCTATTCTATTTTACACCGTAATCATAATCAGACATGATGGATGGGACAAAATACTAAAAAAGTTAACAAGACTTGCGGAAAAGCCGCTGGACTAAAGCCGTTCAGTGGATCATTTTCTAAAAATGCATCGATCGGGAAAGGTTCGTGCCGTTTCGGGCAACACCACAACCCAGAACAGGGGGCACTTCTGAACAGCCCGGAAGCAGGCGTCACCTCTTGACAAATTCCAAGCGAGAAAACTGTGCCTGAATCATATAAGACGGATCCCGAAAGGTGGTCTCGGAAGTAGCAAAGGGGGCATACCATACATACTCTCCAAATTGAGGAAATGCTTGCATTTTGACCTGGTATTCACTGCTGTGCAGTGCACAGTAGCAAAGCTTTGCCTAGTAAAAGTTGTTTGCCTCAGGGCTGCGGAGTCGATGGATTTTAGGGTTACTCCGACTCCGACTCCGGCTTCAAAAATCGACTCCGACTCCGACTCCAACTCCGACTCCGACTCCGGACGTTTCTATTAACCCGCGCACCGACGGGGGGGGGGGGCGGATATCCGCCCCCTTAGGTTTTTCGTAGATAGCGGGAAAACCGTGGCGCGTGGCGCCGCGAAATTTGGCACGACTATTCTCTCATCCATTTTACACATGGTGTGCAAGTTTGAACCTCCTAACTTTGAAGGTCAGGTCACCAGGTCAATTTGAATGACTCAGCCTCAAGTCACTTTTTTTTTGCAAATTTGACACCGTGCCACAGCTACAGTAGATGTCGGAGACCTTTGAAGGTCGCAGGATGTTATAAGGTCATAAGTAGCTACAATTTGTGTATCTCGGAATTTTGATATCGATGACCTAAGGTCAGGTCAATTTCTCGACCTCCCCATTATAAGTCAATGGGGAAAAAGCAACTCCCTGTTTTTACCACTAAAACGGGTCGGAATGGCCCCATAACCATACATGGCTTCATATACGACCAACCTTCACTACCTTGAGGTCTGTTTTGCTGTTGGGCAGCTGTAAGGTCATGTGACGTCATCAAAGGTCACCAAAGGTTTTTTTTTTACCAATAACTCCGTACAGGAACAAGATACAGCCGTGCGGATGGTCTCATTGAGTTCAGCTCGTCAAGTTGCATCGAATGATATACATGATGACCTCGAGGTCACGTGACCTGAGGTCAATCTTTGACCTTGACCTTTCGAGGTGAACATATATATCATTCGATGCGGATTGACGGGAGGATCACGATGATGCCCTTAGTGCGCGGGTTAAAATACATATTATTGAAGTTCATAATGGAGATGTTTTTATCTTGCCTGAAACGATCTCTTGTGCTTTCCAAGGCGTTTCGTTGCAAATCTGCATTAAAAATAACATGCAGAATTAAAAAACAGGTTCTGGGGAATTCACCGTCTTCTGCTTCCTTCGCTGAAATCGTTTGTCCAAAACAGCATGTGACCGCCGCATGTATGAATGCTTATGTATGTTCACCGGCTGTGGCTCGTAGCCGGCCAGGAAGACCGCCGAGACCGGCCGGCCGCGAGGACGCCGGCCGCCCGGGCCCGGCCTGACCGGGCCGCGCCGCCTGACCCTTCCGCCGCCGCGCAGCCTGGGAGGGCCGAGACCGGCCCCCTGTTTTGACGGCGGCGTCTGGAATTTGTATTGTCCACGCCGGCGTCCCCGTCCCAGGTATGCGCGCGGACCGGCCAGGTGCGGCTATTTTTGTGCGCGGCGGCTCCCCCTCCCCTCCGTCCGAGCTCCGTTGCCGCGCTCCGGCGTGGCCGTCCCGGCCGGCCGCAGAGAGAGTACCGAGTTAGCTGTGTCTGTGACACTCCCTCCTATTGGCCAGCGCTTCGCCCGCCTCCGCCCAGCTCCAGCCTTGCGCCAGCCAATGAAAGTGCAACACTTTGTAGAACTTTTGTCGACTAGGTCCTCCGTCGAATCGCACTTTCTTCGTTGATGCACTTTTGGATTTGTAGCACCTGCGTGCGTGTCGCAAATTTGAATTGTCGCACATATGAATGTCCCCCTATAGAACAACGGGTACACCAACGACGCGAAAAGCGCCCATTTTACCTGGATAAGATACATGGTAGGTGATATATTTTTTGAATATGGAAAAAATAGAGTATTCTATTCTAACGAGTAAAGCCAAATTCATAAAGCAGTTATTTTTATATTATATGTACCAGAAATAACATACTGACCATAGTTTAAAACTTAGTCTAAAGTTAGTTGAAAAGCGTATAGTTGATACTAAGATGGAAGGAATCAATGGAAGGCGGAAATGGCGCAGCTGTTTCATTCTTAAAATGTGTTCGCAGGCAGGATTTACGTGATGCTAGCGACATCTATTAATGCAATCGGGGACGCTGATTGGCTGACCGAGTCCGTGAGCGGTATCACTAATGTACGCCAGTACAGAGTTGATGCAATGTGCGCATGCGCAGGAACTTGGGCTCTCATGGAGGGGCTTTTGGTACCTCGGGCAGCGCCCAATGCTTTTTGGACCTGTTATGGCCTCCGCATCGAAAAATGCTAGATAAAAAGGTTGTAGAGGAAGCTTGAGGCTACCTTTCCCCACAATAATATTGGCACTTTATTTTTTAGCTTACGTGTGACGCTCGCTTGAAAAAGGTCGATTTAACATGAAAACCCTATGGGGTAGTAGTTTTTGAGCGCCCATTTGGCTTAATGCTACCAACTGTTACTGGCTACCCCTGGATTTTAGGACTAAAGTACGTATCGCTAAAGTACGTAGGACAAAAGTACGTATGCAAATGTTCGTACGCAAATATACGTAGGCGATAAAGTTCGTATACCAAAAGTACGTACGCAAATGTTCGTACGCAAAAGTACGTATGCAAAAGTACGTAGTGCATAAAGTACGTATGTCAAAAGTACGTACGCAAATGTTCGTACGCAAAAGTAGGTATGAAAAAGTACGTAGTGCATAAAGTACGTATGCCAAAAGTACGTACGCAAATGCTCGTACGCAAAAGTACGTATGCAAAAGTACGTAGTGTAAAATGCACGTATGACAAAAGTCCGTACGCAAATGTTCGTACGCAAAAGTTCGTATGCAAAAGTACGTAGTGTATAAAGTACGTATGCCAAAAGTACGTAAGCAAATGTTCGTACTCAAAAGTACGTATACAAAAGCACGTAGTGTATAAAGTACGTATGCCAAAAGTACGTACGCAAATGTTCGTACGCAAAAGTTCGTATGCAAAAGTACGTAGTGTAAAAAGTACGTATGCCTAAAGTACGTACGGTTCGTATGCCAAAGTACGTAGTGTATAAAGTACGTAAGCTAGAAGTAGGGTATAGTAGTGTAAGTTGAGCCACTTTTTCTTTATTGCTGCTCTGTTGCCATACTACAGGGAACTCATAATAAATTCATATACCAAATAATATAGCTTTGTCCATTTCGCCCATTTACTCATCGAGAAATTTTGCTTTGCCTTGTAACAAATGCTCATTAACCCTCGCCGGCACAGGGGGGGGGGGGGGTTGATGCAACCCCCCCCCCTAAGGTTTTTGGCGAATAACTCGCGTAAAAAGCGTCCGGTCGCGACGAAACTTTCAGTACCCTCGCATTGATCAATTTTACACCTACCCTGAAAATTTCATGACCCTGACCCAAATGACCTTTGACCTGTGACCTCTTTTCCGAGACCATGTTTGGCCGGAATCGCGATTCCGCGTATGTCGGCTCGCATTAGCCGCGCGTTTGCAAGCTTTTCGTGGTTTCAAACGTTCAAACATGTGATTTGATGTTGCTCCCATACATAAGGGTGGGTGTCAAGGTCACCCGAAGGTCAGGTCAGGTCATTGACCTTTGGTGACCTCGGGTGACCTCGGTTCACTTTTTCGAGTTTTACATGTTTCTAGGCTAGTTTTTGGAGCTGAATTCGAATTTAGCAACCATTTGAACATTTACAAAGTAGTTTTTGTGCCTTCGTAACATGTTACGAAGCTGTCAGAGGCGGTTGACACGTATTACGAATACACGTCACAACCCCTACCGGTTGACCTGACCTGACCTGACCCGACCAGGGCCTCGTTTCATAAAACTCTGCCGTAACTTACACCTTTCCGTAATTCACACCCTTTCAAACTACGGAGCGCAAATAAATCCGTTTCACAAAGCCACAGCTGGAATTGTTTACACCTCCGTAACTAAGCACATTTGCGTAAATGCGTAGTTACCATAATTTATCAAGCATCCTACAAATTACAATTTCATGTCAACACTTATTTTTTTACGAGAATTTATAAAACAATTATGTTGAATTTAAATCTTAAAAATTATGTATGAAAAAACAAAATTGATATTGATGATCATCCTTTATTAAAACAATATATTAAAAACAGCAGAAAGCCAGCTAAGCAGAAGTGCCTAACTACGAAAGTGGCGCGGCGCGGCGAATAAACTGTTACGATTACTTGAACTTTATTGAACTTAATTTAAACACGAAGGTAGCACTGTAACCGCTTACTAATGCTCAAAACTCTCGGCCACACAAGCCGGCCGCCCGCCGCCACACAGGTCCGTCGCGAGAAGGACAAACAGCGCCTCTGGCGGCCGGCCGACAAATTACGATCAGCTGATCGACAAAACTGGGTCACCGGATCGGCGCGCGACGGCCGATCGTCAACAGCGGCAGCTGATCCACAACATCCTCCCCTTCAAAAAGTACGGACACCTAGGTCACAGGTGCACACCCGAGGGCCTAACCTGGCGAATACGGTTGCGGGCGTCGCACTGGGCGGCCATAGCGGCTAACAGCAGTTGGCGGACGGATGGGAGTTCCGGCGGATCCCGTTCCGCTCGAGCCGCTCGAACACCTCCCTCAGAACAGCGACATGCTGCTCTAGAGTCTCCGTGAAGATGAGTACGTCGTCCAGATACACGACCACTGACTGGTGCAGCAGGTCCTTCAGCACCGTCGTCATCATCCGCTGGTACGTTGCCGGTCCATTGCACATACCAAAGGCCAGGACTTGGTAGCAGAATTGCCCCTGATCGGTGACGAAGGCTGTCTTCTCTTGTGCCGATTCGTCCAGTTTCACTTGCCAGTACGCAGCCTTCTGATCGAGCTGCGAGAAGACACGGCATTTGGGACCGATCGACGCCAGCAGCGACTCTATCCTAGGTAGAGGAAAAGAGTCTTTCACGGTGCAGCGGTTCAGCTCCCTGAAGTCAGTACATACTCGAAAGCTCTTGCTTCCCTTCTTCTTTACAAGAAGCACCGGGCTCGCGTACGGGCTGGCACACTCCCGTATCACGCCCATTGACAGCATGTCCGCGATCTGCTGGTTGGCAGTCTCTCGCAGAGCCGGCGGAATCGGGTACGGCTTCTTTTTCCGCGGCTCCTCCATCAGCTCTATGCGATGTTCGACAGCTGTGACTCGTCCGAGCTGCCCTGGCGAGCTGAACACGTCCGACTGGTCCAGCACCGCTTTCAGCTTCTCCTGATCCACTGTTGACAGGTGAGACAGGTCAGCCTGTGTCTTCACCTGGTCCAGGAACGGCATCACCTCCTCGTCCAGACTGTCCTCGAAGTCCTCCACCGCACCATCTGTCACCACACACCGGCACACGGTGGCGGCCGGCTCTCTAACCTCCTGTCCAAAACATGAGAGCACACCGGTACTGAAGTTGACAGCCACTTCAGCCGCCTTTAGAAAGTCTGTGCCGAGTAGCACACAGTCACTGCACTCGGCGACCAGGACCTCCATGGTCACCTCACCTGCAGTGCCCGGCACATGCAGAACCACATCTGCAGCTCCGTGAACATGGAGACTTTCCTGTCCAGCTCCCACCACAGCCTTTCGGCTGTGTCGCAGCTGCAGCTGACACCTGTCGGCCGTCGATCGCGACAGAAGCGTCCGCTCGCTGCCGCTGTCCACGACTGCATCCTGCACTAGCCGTCCATTCACCGTCACGTCCAGCTTCAACGTCGAACCGACAACCACTCGCCTGTTGGCCGTCACAGCTCCTGGTCCTGCACCACTGGTGCCAGCACCACCACTGGTGCCACCACTGGCACTCCCCATGGCACCACCTCGGTTACCACCACTGGCACAGTATCGACTGATGTGCCCCACACCTCCGCACTTATAGCACTTGATGCCCTTCGAGCCGCCTGACCGGCTCCCTCCTTTGCACTGTTTGGCAATATGTCCCATCTGGCCACACGAATAACACTTTCGACTCACAGATCTTCCAGTCTCCTGGCAGCGCCTCGCTGCTGACCTCTGCTTGCCATGGAGCAGAGTCATGTGAGTCACCAGCTGGTCCAGCGAGGACAGGTCGCCCTCTCCCAGCTTGTGCGACCAGACCTCTGGCGCACCCTTAATCGCCTGTACGATGGTCATGCGGTCCAGAGACTCGGCTGTCAGCTCTGGCATGACCTGCTGAATCTGACTCTTCAGCGCCTCTACGTACTCCCGCGGAGTCTCGCCTGGCTGCAGACGACGCTGGTCCAGCCCTTGAAGGATCTGCCCCTTCATCACCTCCGGCGTCAGGAGATGCAGCACCTTTTGTTCAGCAGCACTGACTGTAGCATCCCGTTCAGCAGCCTGTACTTCTGCCTCAACCCGGTCGGCCACCCAGGCCGCCCGCCTGCACGAGCCAAGGGCATAACAGATCAAGTCCAGGGCCACCACGCCCGACAGGTTTTTCAAGCTCGCATAACGCCGAAACTGCTTGAAGAAACGCCGTGGTTCGGCGTACTCGAACACGGGGAGGGGCAGGCTCAGTGCCCCAGTCGCCCCGGCACTCGTGTCCACCGAGTTATCCATCACCGGTCCCGTATCACACAGATTATCCGTCCGGTATCCGTTCACTCAGTTTGTTTACATCATCACACTGGGCGCCGCCATGACACACCTGACCGGTGGCGCCACCCGCGGAATAGTCCCGAAGCTTCCCTGTGACGTCACGTCCGGCTAACGCTCTTCCCGCTGCCGGCCGACGCCATCTTCGATGATCTTCGGCACACTGATCGGTTTCGCTCACGCCGACTGCGGCACGCGGCGCCGGTTATAATCCCACCGCTGAATGTTACGATTACTTGAACTTTATTGAACTTAATTTAAACACGAAGGTAGCACTGTAACCGCTTACTAATGCTCAAAACTCTCGGCCACACAAGCCGGCCGCCCGCCGCCACACAGGTCCGTCGCGAGAAGGACAAACAGCGCCTCTGGCGGCCGGCCGACAAATTACGATCAGCTGATCGACAAAACTGGGTCACCGGATCGGCGCGCGACGGCCGATCGTCAACAGCGGCAGCTGATCCACAACAAAACAAAATTCCGATAGTGGCCACAAAAAAGCGACTGGTACAGAAGATTTGCAGTTTCTTTTTCTCATTTTGGCTGTTCTGTCTTCCTCACCGGGCTCAACATTATAAAATATATTAAAAATTAGCTTCGAATCTTCACATTAATTCAAAATCACGCAACATTTTTGTGCGTAGTTTACACCACTGATATCAAGAGCTTGATAAAATATTCGGCGTTAATTACGTCGTTTTATGAAACCCAAATGGCATCAATTGGTCCGGAATCGAGCATTTGCCGTAAATGAAGCTCCGTACTTTCGATGGCGTGAATTACTCCGGTCTCCGGCTTTATGAAACCGAATTGGCATCAAATACGCCAAATCTGGCATAATTGACGGAACGCCGTAAGTAATTCCTTTTATGAAACGAGGCCCAGGTCTAAATGCTTAAAGACATCGTCTCTGATCAAAACTAACACGATATTCGTGATCAGCACCCCGGAAAACCACAAGGCAACCACACTTTACGACTTTCTAACAGGTCCCGATTTTCCCGGTTTTCGGGTCATTGTCCTGACCTGGAAGGTCATCCGATGACCCAGGACCTTAAAATTGGGTATCATTGGCTTCCTCTCGTGACGGGCAACACGCTCGTTTTTTCTGCGGAGCTCTAGCTCGATCAGGGGCCAAACGCGAGGGGTGTCGTCGCAACCCCCCCCCCCCTTGTGCCGTCGAAGGACTCAAAATGGCCTGTGCCGGCGAGGGTTAAATAAAGAATAAGAAAGGTATTACACATTGATCAACTTAACCCAAGGGTGGGGTACGTACTTAATACCCTACGTACATTTGCTATACGTACTTTTGTCCGTGACGTACTTTTGTCCACACGTAGGGTAGACCGGGGCAAGTCGCCCCGCCGAGGTAAAACGCCTCACCGATGTTTCTCGGAACTGGCAGGGTTCTGGGGAAAGATCCTCTCTTCTGTTAACCCGGCCGGGGGGGTAATTCCAACCACCGCAGCCCGGGGAGGGGTGTTTTTCGCCCCCCTGTCTAACTCCGTAAATAAGGGAGCTACGCAAACAAAAGAGATACCAAACGAAAGGTCCTTACGAGAAGATTCTAAAGCACCCAAAATTTTTGACCTCAGATCAATTTTCAAGGTCAGAGGTCAAGGTCAAAGGCAAAAACCGGCACATGTGTAGTGATCTCAAAGTGAGCGTTCTAGAGGACGGAAGGATGCATAAAACCGGCAAAATTGGATGTCAAACGAAAGAAAATCATCTGAGAATTCCGAAAATGTGCTCAACATCAAAGGTCACGGTCAAGGTCATGCTCAAAATTGACCTCAAACTTTGCACTTTTCGTACATCTTGCGTGTCAACTTCCAAGATATTTTGAAATATTTTGAGGCTTATCAGGTCCATATTTGTGGTTCATCTTACGATACAAGGCTGCTCAAAGGTCAAGGTCACAGACGAGAGTCCTTGCTAGAGGCTATTTCACTGATTCAAGTTTGTAATAATAAATAAGACACTTTTGCCATCCGGAGGCTCTAAATAAAGGCTTAGAGGAAAATAGATGCCAGATTCGTGATCAGCGGGTAGGAATCCATCATAAACGACTTTTGGTGTGTCAAGGTCAACCAAAGGTCATTCGAGGTCACATGAGGTCAACATAAAACTTGTCCTTTTCCAAACAAAATATATATTATTCGACGCGGCTTGACAAGGCAAATGCGATGGTACCACTGCCGTAGCTCTAGGACCATTTTTGTCGAAGTTATTTGCGAAAAACTAAAACCACAGCTCGGGGTCGTTGACCTGACCTCTGACCTCAGGTCACTAAAACTATTTTTGTATTTTTATCTAGCTCAAACGCTACACAACCGTGCTCGTAATTTGTATTTATCTCTAAAACTCTATTTTTAGCAGCCATTTGAAGTTCGCGTCTGTGACACCGAAGTATGCCGTGCAGGGGTCTAGAAAAATCGACTTTGTGACGTCATCAATGGGGCTAGGTCCAAATTTTTTACTTCAGAAGATGTCAAATTGATGGGAGAAACGGTACTGAAAGTTTCGCTTTCCTATCCCTATAAACGTTCGGGAGCTATCGCAAATATTCGCCAGGGGGGGGGGGGCGAAAAACGCCCCCGGGCCCGCGAAGGTTAATCTAGTGTATGGGGCTTCTTGCCTCATGCCGTGGGGCGTTTTGCCCTGGGGTTGGGGCAAAATGTCCCATTTGCAGTTGCTTCACAAAGCACTTCCTAGCTGGGAGTCCGATCATAAGTGAATGAATTTGAGGGATGATAAAGTAAAATGTCCAAAGAACACATTGAGCACAAATTTGGCCTTCCAGGTGGTGTGAGACAAAAGTAGGTACCTATGTAGCAAAATAAATTATCTGGGGCGTCTTGCCCAAGGCTACCCTACTTAATACTCTACGTACATTTGCTATACATAGGCTTTTGTACGTGACGTACTTTTTTGTCCATACGTACTTTATACCCTACGTACTTCTGCGATACGTACTTTTGTCCGTGACGAACTTTTGTCCATACGTACCTACTTTTTACCCAACGTACATTAGCTATACGTACTTTTGTCCGTGACGTACTTTTGCCCATACGTACTTTATACCCTACGTACTTCTGCGATACGTACTTTTGTCCCTGACGTACTTTTGTCCATACGTACTTTATATAGTACGTACTTCTGCAATACGTACTTTTGTCCATACGTACTTTATACTGTACGTACTTCTGCGATACGTACTTTTGTCCTTGACGTACTTTTGTCCATACGTACTTTATTTTGTACGTACTTCTGCGATACGTACTTTAATCCTACGTACTTTTGCTTACGTACTTTTGTCCTACGTACTTTAGCGATACGTACTTTTGTCCGTAACCCGCGGCCGAAGGGTGGCAAGTTTTCCTTGCATTTAGACTAACAAAGATAAAGCGGCTAACCCCTTCCACCGAAAAGTGACCTGACTCGTATATGTTTGATGCACAGACTTCATCTTTCACGTAGCAGGATGTACATTGATAAGGTGCAAGTGTAGTTTATGCATGAGTTGTACGTACCAAATAACAGTCCCATATTTATATTTCATTTTTATTTCTAAAAACCACCGAACAATGATCAAGAACATGCAACTATTCCGTGCTTCCACACGCTGACAAATGCTAAAAATCAGCCCACATAGGAGCCATGTAAACAGGGAGCTTTTACAAAAAAAAAAGACTAATGGAATGGTCACTTTCAGACAAAAGACACCAAATAGTTAGTTTGCTTTCATTGCATGAAACACAAACCAGGGGTGTAATGTTATATCTCTTGAGTTTTATTCACGATCGATGGCAACACAAGTCAAATTCCTAAAACCAGACGTTTCGGCCACAGGGTGCCTTCGTCAGTGGACACTAGTGATTAAATTAAAAACGCATAGTACCTATCAAAAACAATCGGTATAAATCGTTCGAAGTCGACACATCGGGCACAGGTTTCGAAAAACAATCGTTTCATTTCGAAACCTGTGCCCGATGTGTCGACTTCGAACGATTTATACCGATTGTTTTTGATACTATGTGTTTTTAATTTAATCACTAGTGTCCACTGACGAAGGCACTCTGTGGCCGAAACGTCTGGTTTTAGGAATTTGACTTGTGTTGCCATCGATCGTGAATAAAACTCAATCATGCATCTGATTATTTCCAAACGTTATATCTCTTTGTGCCTTGTGGGGGCAGAAGCACCCACAATCCTGAATTATCCCCCCGGCCCCCACAATGATGAAAATGCACCCACAAGTCTTTTACGAGAGCCCTTTCGAAAAGCACGGCGCCCTTCGCAAGCTCTAACGGCGTCCTCCTGACAGTCTCGCGTTCATGGATAATATAGCGTTTGTAATCACTCGGCGCCATTCTGGGAGAATGGCCCTTTTGACAGCACTGCGCCATTAGCCGTTTTCACGACGGCCATCTAGTAGTAGGTACATATTTGGTGCACATCTGGTGCAGATTAGGTGCAGATTTGGTCAAATTAGGTTCAGTGGGTCTCTTAGTAGGTAGCTATCAGCTAGGGTTGCACTAATTGCTTATATGCCTGCTTTGTCATATTAACAGTGAGCATCATTTTTTAGCGGTTGTTGTTAATTTATTTACAAAAACTAATTCGATGATATTTAAATTAACAAACACATTTTTATTCGCAATCTCAAACAAAAGTTGAATTTATTCGCGCTTCATTAATTTCAGCTGGTGAGTATCATTTTTTCATCACCCATCGTCCTCGATGTAGTCGAAATTGGCGCACTCGGAGAATCATCGATTAACCCGCGCCCCAGTGGCGGTCTCAGCCAACTTCGCCCTAGTGAGGGGGGGGCATATGTTACCACCCACCTTTAACTCAAAAACTAAGAGGGCTAGAAAGACGCGGTAAAAATTAGTCGATAGCTCTCAATGCGTACGTTTGAAAGTATTTGGTCATTTTTCACCTTAGAGCAATATTGGGGT